GTCATAGTTGCACACCCTTCTAGTTGCTGTATGTGGGACGCGGCCTCAGCATGGCCGGAGAAGCGGTGCGATGGTGCGCGCCCGGGATCCAAACCCAGACCGCCAGCAGTGGAGCACGCACACTTAACCGCTAAGCCACAGGGCCAGCCCTGAACAAAATAACTTAATGCTGCATATAAGAAGCCCTGGAACCCAATTTTTAATTCAATAAATGATTCAAGCTTTGGGACTTCTTTAAATATACCTTATTTTAGGCTATTATTCCCAGCTAAAGAACTTGCTATTTGATTAGACAAACACACTAACTCTGAAGAATGTAAATTAAGGAAAGATTATAGTAGTATGGATAATCCAAAAGTTATACCTGAGTTTTAAAATACTTCCACTTTATAATTTGTATAGCACCTCACAATTTACAAAGTACTTTCACATATTTAAATTACTTTTCACAATTCTGCAAATATGTAATATAGGTATTATTATTCCCATTTTTCTTATTAAAACAAAACCAAACTAAAGGCTAAGATATGCCCTGCTTCTACTCTTATCCACTCACAGTCTACCCAGAAGCCACAATTATCTTTTTAAAACGTAAATCAGATGGTTCACTCACTTGCTTAGAACCCAGCAATGGTTTCCTATTGTACTTGGAATAAAACTCAAACTCATTATCATGGCCTACCATACCTGACATAACCCAGCCCTGCCCATCTGTCTCACCTCATCTCCTAGTGACCTATTCCCTTCTAGTCACAGTGGCCTTCTTTCCAGCACTCAGGCCAAACTCATTCTAGTCCCAGGGTCTTTGCACTGGTTATTTCCCTACCTAGAACCTTCTTGAGAAGTCTTAGCTCCTTCTTGTCATTCAAGTTTTACTTTAAATGTTACCTCCCTAAGTGACCTTTCTCAACCACCTACTCTATCACTTTGCCCTCACTTTGTCCTCACTTGTTTTCTTCATAGCAATTATCGTTACCTGGTATTTCTTTTCTAGTTATCATTAATTTGCTTTTTGTTGCCCTACTAGAAAATGCACAACCATGAGAGCAGGGTCATTATCTTATTTACTACCGGATCCCTAAGGCCTAGAAGAGTGTTCTAGAAATATTTACAAAATGAATAAATAAAGAGTTTAAGCAACTAAACCTGAACTAGAACCCATGACACCTAGCATTTAACCTACAATGACAGTAATAGCAAATAATCTTTCACACAGATTATTCTCTGATGAACAGGATGTAGCGGAAGTTAATCTGTAAACATGCTGGGTAGGAGGAAGAAACCAAATCCAAATTTAAACATTTAAAACACATTGCTTAACCAAGATCCAAGATTTAATAGTCATTTTTTTTCCTAGTAAGAAATAAGCGAAGTAGGCTAAATACCACTGGATTGGGTTGGTGTCAAAACCGCCACATTTAGGAGACATCAAAAAGCAAAGAGGGGGAAAGAACCAAGGAAAGGGGGAAATTTAACAGTCATCTCTGTAGATATGGAGCAGGAGTGCATACGAATAAAAGGCAGAGAAAAGAAGATCATATAAGAGACTAGCCCAGCTGCATTACTCTAGAAGGTAAACTTACCGTTTTATTTCGTAATCGAATGATATCAGACACAGAACCAGCCCCACAGTACTCCATAACAATCCACAAGTCTGTGTTCTTAAAATAACTGCCATAATATTTGACTACGTGAGGGCTAGAGAGATAGACAATAAAAATTAGTGGAACAGCCTTCACACATCTCTGTTAATTCATGCCGTTAAATACATGAAAACTACTCAATTCAACACATCAATTATTCACATTTAAGGTTAAAACGGACACCCTCTTGATAAGAATGTAAAAGCGTAGAGCTTTTCTGGAGAGCAATAAATAACAAAAGTGCAAAACCTGTATGGGTCCTTTAACTCAGCATTTCTAAGTCTAGCCTATAAACTCCCAGACGACCAGCACTCTGCTTTGTATTTCTTTGTATTCCTTACATTGCTGAGCACATAGTAGGCTCTTCAAAATACCTCTTCTTAAATTAGAGACATCTGCACACTCTGTTTGGAACATAGCTCTTGTGTAGTCTATTAACAGTGGCAAAGCCTCAATTTGCCAACTGGAAAGAGCGTCCATAATGCCTCTCAGGGAGGAGGAAAAGAAAAACTGCTACCTTAGTCTGGTCAATCTAGTCAAGAAATACAAGGGTTTCATCTAGTAGAGCGTAACCATAAAAATACTATAAAGAATAAATGATGGGCCGGCCCTGTGGCTTGGTGGTTAAGTGCGCGTGCTGCAATGCTGGTGGCCCAGGTTCGGATCCCGGGTGCGCATCGAGGCACCACTTCTCCGTCCATCCTGAGGCCGAGTCCCACATACAGCAACTAGAAGGATGTGCAGCTATGACATACAACTATCTACTGGGGCTTTGGGGGGAAAAAATTAAATAAATAAAATCTTTAAAAAAAAAAAAAAAGAATAAATGAAAGGGAGGGAGGGAGAAGAGAAATGACCACATTCACAAATCGGTGAGACTTAAGGGCTCCTGGGCAAATTTCCTACTAGGCAGCCCCACCTGCCCTAATGTTGAAGCTTTACAAACAGGAGGTACTAAGTTGATCTGCTGACCAAGAGCTTCAGAAGGATGGATACAACCTCAAGGGCAAAAATTTCTCATTCTCCTTTCAACTCCATAGAGCTGGCATTGACCCTAAATTTGTGTTTCTCTCAAATCTAAATGGTCCTGAGGAAGCCTGCCCCATCACCGTGATCTCATGTTGTCACGGAATTTCAGGGCAAACCACGTGCTTTTCTGCGGTCGCCTGTTGGCCTGACTTCCTGCTTACAGTGTTTGACAAATCTTAGTTCCTCAAAAATAACATACTTAACTAGTCTTAGCTTAAATAATTTCTTAAAAATGTGAAGAAAGGAATAATAATATATAAATAAGTATTCTCTTTTTATAGAGCTATCTGATATTCTAAGGTTTCTAAAGCTAAAGGCATTTGAATTATCTCTTCTTAGCTGTCTCTGTAGAAATGTTTTCTCAGTAGGAAGTAAAAGAGATCATTATCAAAAAAAAAAAGCCAGCACCACCTCTGACCCTTTGCCTCTTCTTCCTAGTTTTGAAAAGGGCTTACCGAAAAAACAAAACTATGCAGAAATAGAAACTATAAAAGTTTAGCTACTAAAACACATTTTTTTCATAATTTTTTTCTGAAAAGAACATGCATAGTGATTCCACTAAACTCTCCTTTCTGCAAAATATTCCAGTAAATGCAACTCTAGGCGTCAAACTCTAAATAATCACAGCAAATTCAAATTTACGTTCTCTCCAAAGTAACACCACGTGCCTTTACCTGTCACATTGCTGCATTATAGAGATTTCTTTGATTATCTCCTGCAGGTCAGATTCCACAGGAACTTGCTTAATAGCAACAATCTGGCCAGTCTCTTTATGATTAGCTTTGTACACGCTGCCATAGGACCTATAATTGGGGCAAGGAGAATATTTATAAAGTCAAAGCAAGCCAAGAGATAAAAAGTGGTAAAACACAAGCAACTCACAGTTCTAATTTATATCCCTGAGTGACTAATACATATAAACTTAGCTACACTTGTGAAACTGATAGCTAAAGTACTTTGGGAAAAAATTGTCATTAAGAGAACTACACAAAATAGCATCTTTAAAACTTCACATTTAAATTGTACTGAATGTATTAGTATGAAACAATTATTAGAATAGCTACCGGCATTGTATGCCTTCTACCTCTGCAGGAAACTGTGCATCCTCTCAGTTCATCCTTACAAAAAAACAACGAAGAAGGAGCCGTTATCCCTATTTTACAGGTAAACGTGAAAAGGGTCAGAGAGGTTACATGACTTGCCCAAGGTCACATAAGTGACAAATAAGTGGTCAGTCCTGGATCTGAATCCAGGTGTATCTGAATACAAAGCCTGTGTGTGCATACCTATGCTGGGGCACAAAAGTGGAGGTCTTTGCTTCCTTGCCTTCACTTTAGTACCATGAGGTCTTTCAGTCCTTGTTCCTCCTACTTGTAATACTATTTAAAATATTATGGAAACTAATTAAAAATCTAAATCTCTTTAAATGCTAGTATCAGGTGAAGAGAGCACATACAAATCTTTTTGCTTTCTACTCCATCTTCCCTTATTTATTATCAAAATAAATAAAAAGCACATGTATCCATTCAATTTGGGGGCAAAAAGAGCATTTAGATTTAGAATCCAAAGACCTAGGATTTGGGTCATATTAGCTATCATTTACAGACATATTATTAACCTTGTGCCCCAATTTTCTCATCTGTAAAATGACAGCAATACAAACTACTTGACAAGACAATTGTGATCGTCAAATGAGATATCACCATCATCTCACGAAGATTATATTGTCATTGAAATCCTAGATGGCTGTCAGTGAAATAACGAGTAAATTGTCTTTCATATTTCCCAAACACACCTGTTTCTTCATACTGTCTTGCTGAAAAAAGATCAAAATAACAGTGCCACCTAATATATCAAACTAGCTGAGTGCTCCAACTAACAAAATGACGCTCAAGAATTCAATGTGAAAGTACATAAAACTAAAAAAAAAAAAAAAGTCTATGCAAAGCATATAAAAAGTTTCCATTCTATTAGAATCCCTTATACTGGCAAAACTAGTATAATAATCCTTGAAAGTTGCATAAAACTTTTTTTTGCCAGAGAAAGGCAACTGCTGACCACATGCAGAAGGCCCAACCATTGCCCCTTCTTCCCTGCCAAGATAACCCCCCGATTTGTTAGGGTGGCACACGCTTTGTCCCAGTGGTCCAGGCCAGTCACTGAACTAGTAGCAAGTATATGACCTAGTTCATGGCCAATGAAATTTGAGGGGAATTCTGCTGAAGGGTTTCTGGGAAAGACTTTCTTCCCTGATGAGAGAGAAACACAAGAAGGACCATTTTTACCTGTCACTTCCTTTTCTGCTTTGGTTACTGTCATGTGAGGCATGACACTTGAAACCAAAGCGGCCATCCTGAGACTATGAGAATTACACAAATGCCAAACCATTATCAAGCCAATTAACCACTCTGGAATCTTTCATCCCCAGATTTATTACTACTTGCCCTTATTGGTTAGCTGCTGTTATTAAATGCCCTTATTGGTTAGCCACTGTTGGTTGGGTATTCTGTGACTTTCATCCACAGTTATTTTCGATATACTAAATCCCATATGTGTGAAAATGTCTTTATTTCACCTTCACTCTGGAATGAGTTTCGCTGGATACAGAATTCTTTGACAATAGCTTTCCCTCAGCACTTTTACTGCAGTTTTCCAGCTTCTATTGTTGTGGAGAAGTCAGCTATCGGGCTATCATTTTTCATAGGTAATCTCTCTTTCGGTATCTTTTAAGATTTCCTCTTTATCCTTAATGTTCTACAATCTTACTATCATATAACTAGGAGTCAATTTGTTTGGCACTTCATAAGCTTCTTCAATCTGAAGGCACATGTCCCTCTTCAAATCTGGAAAATTCTCAGCATTATCTCTTTATTTCCCCTCTCTCTTCTAATATCTCCATTTAGAATTCCTGTTGGACCTAAATTGGACCTCCTCAATCCATGCTGGCTTCCCGGTTTCCAACACCATATTTCTCCGTCCTGCATTTTGTGATCAGTCTCATTTCTATCTTTCAATTCACAAATTCTCCTTTCAGCTTGTCTAGTTTACTGTTTATCCCATTTATTGGGCTTTAGAACTTCAATTATTGTAGTTTTCACTGTCAAGATTCTCATCGGGGTTTTTTTTGTTTGTTTTTTGTTTTTTTGCTGAGGAAGATTCACCCTGAGCTAACATGTGTGGCCAATCTTCCTTTTTTTCCTTGAGGAAGATTCACCCTGAGCTAACATCTGTGCCAATCTTCCTCTATTTTGTATGTAGGTCACCACCACAGCATGGCTGCTGACAAGTGGTATAGGTCCACGTCCAGGAACCAAACTCAGGCCACCGAAGCGGAGCATGCTGAACTTAACCACTAGGCCACGGGGCCAGCCACAAGATTCTCAACTTTTTATTTTTCATGGGGCTAACTGTTCATGTTAATAATATCATGTTCTTCTTTTAAGGATGTTATTCCCTTCTTTTATCTTTTTGACAATCATAAACAAACATGTTAAATCCCCTTTCAGATTGCTCCATTATTTCCATTTCCTTGGGTGTGAACTCTCCCATTTTCTAGGGCTGCTGATGATCTCATGACAGTGGATTTCCTTGCCTGGGTTTCCTTTTATCTTGAATGATTTTCCTCTACACAACTCTCAATGTCATGAGCCTTTCACGATGTCATGACGGTTTCATGGTCCCCTTAGCTCAGTCACCTAGGCTGTACAACTTAAACTGGGTCTTGCATTAGGAATTTGGGATTTTTGCCCCTGCAAGATACCATACTTGAATGCAGTCTAGGCCCAGTTCCTACAGTCAGACCAGTACCTTTGCTTTTTCCCCAGGCAAAGGATACTTTCCAGTGGTGATCAGAAATCATTTCAGCGTTAGTTCATAGATGAGGAGCCTCATCCCATCCTATAACTTCATGCAGGAAGCCCTCTGCAATCTCCTGACAGGGACAGGGTATGCCTTTCCCCCCTCTTACTACTACAGATATCTTTTCTATCCCTGGTCCATACTGGCAATGTATCCTTATATTTAAAAAATTAATTTTCACACATTATTCTTATGTATTTCAAATGGACAGGAGAGGTCTCTGCATGCACTCACTCAGCAATCTTGCCCAGAACACTCCATGCCTCTCTATGCTATCTTGATAGCAGAGAAAACTGAAACAGCTCATACGAGCAATTGAGATTCATGATTCCACATACTGCACTTAACAGTAATCTGAAGAGGATTTAGAAAGCTTCAGCAATCATGCTCACTTACAGGCAAGTCCCTTAAGACCTGATTGCCTATAACAAAAACTACAGTGACTCAACGAATTTTAACTGGCAGAGAACACAGATAGTAGGGAAGTATGTGTTTCACACAAGCCATACAAGGCAAGGATCAATGTAGAAAAATAGAAATAATACAGTATCTGAAGCCAGATTAACCAGGTACAAGTCTTAACAATACCATTCACTAGCTATGAAACCACGGGCAAGATGTTTTTATCATCCTGTGATAAAAACCTACATGAGACAATGTGTAAAACTTTAAGTATAATAGAAGGAAAAAGGCACTAGGCTCTAATTCAAAACACTTTCCAGGTGCTGTCCAGTCATCCTGGTCCGGAGCTTTGGCTCTACTGGACCACAGATCCACACAATTCCCTCAAAACGCAGAGTGACTGCAGCCTCCAGAATCCAATACAGCCCTTTAGCCAGAGCTTGTTTCACAAGGCACAAGTCAGTGAAAGTTCACAATCCTTTCACTTTCCAGAACAAATAGTCATGGCAGTTTGTGTTTTGAAAGTAAGTGCAGTTAAGATCTTTCTTCAGGATTTTGCTGGTTAAATGAAGCTTGTTCAGGATTCATTCAGCCATGATGACAGAAATCCAAGAGTATTTGTGGTATCATTTAAAAGAATAATACGGTGATAATGGGGGAAGAAAGATCGGAAGCTTTGTTTTCTCCCTGATGACATCTTTACAGGGAAATTTCCAAGGTCCTTGATGAACACATCCATAGATCTAAAACATAATTCAAAATAATCATAATTAGCTTAGTTTTTTCTTATATTATATTCCTGATATATTCTGTCTGTAGTTTCCTTTTGACATTCCCCAAACCCAATCAACCCAAACAGAGCTTCCTTCTAGAATACCTAAATATACTTTAAAACTTAAGATTTAACTTTAATTTGACATGATAAGGTTTGAAAAATGCTTCAGTTGATAAATTTAAAAATAAAATAAGAGTTGCCACTTACTGAGCACTTACTACGTGACAAGCACTGTACTAAGTACTTTTCTCCCATTATCTCATGTAATACTTGCCATAATCCAGGAGATATTATTATCCTCGTTTTATAGCTGAGGCTTGTGAAGCTTCAAAATATTAAGCAATTTGCTCAAGTTCACATGTTTATTATGACTAATAAACAGTACAGCAAGGGTTTTAATCCACGTATGTCTGACTTCAGAGTCTATGCTCTTACTACTGTAACATACTTTTATTAAAAATGAAAGAAACAAGTTAGTTACAGAGTCAATTATGCCTACCACTCTTTATCTTATTCCAAGTATAACCTGTGAGCATGGTTAGATTAAGGGCCTTGGACTCACTGCCTTGAGGAAAATAGCAAGGATACCAAGCTAAAGCTGAAAATGGCAGGCAAGAGATAGAGAGGGATTGTCATTTTTCCATACCTTTAATGTTGCCAGGTCAACTTGCAGTCTTCAGATTCATTTTGTACTTGTCTTTTCGCAGCACAGCTGGTGTTATCTTTTACTTCCCTTCTCTGCTTGATTTCTTGTTTGATTCCAAAGAGTATTTTTCCAGCTTACAAAAAGATGATGACTAATGTTTTTGTACAAGAGGTAATCCATGAAAACCTTTCCATGTAATCCAGGATTGGGTTTAACATTATTGATCTATATTAGCATAAATAAACTAAACCTAAAAATAATCTAATGACATATAAAAGCTGATTCTAAAGAGCATACGGTAATTAGACAATAGAGATTTTTAAAAGTTAATATTTCAGGTCTTCTCTTGAACCACAAGTACTCCCAAGAGAGTAAATACACACACACACACACACACACACACACACACACACACTTATTTGCTTAAATATGTATAAACTATCTCTGAAGGATATACAAAAAACTGCTATATTGGTTGCTTTCAAGTGGCTGTGAGACAGAGGTAGGGGCGGATTTTTTCATTATATACACTTTCATGCTTTTATAATTTTGAATCATATGAATTGATGACCTATTCAAAAATTAACAACAACGAAAAGTTAAGAAAGTGTGTCCCTAATATAACGTCCTGGTCATTACAGAAGAAGAAATAAATACACAAGGATTAAATTAAAAAGATAAAAGAGTATGATGTAACATTTATTGTATCATTAAAGTCAATGATGGCCACTATCTATTACTAAATATCATTTCACCAGTATTTTATACACCCATTCACAAATCTGTTTCATGAAGTCCACTGGTTCCCAACCGGGGATTTTGGATCTCTTAGGAGGCTGTAAAGGTAGTGACAGTTCTTGATTTATTTACTATATTTCACAAAGCTGCACTAACTAACCAAAATGTTGAATTCTATTGTTTTTTATTGAAACAACAATTATTGCATATCAATCAGAAGCTGTGAACAGCAAATAAAAACATGTCTGATTAATAAAAAAATTTTAAATGAAGTATAAACTAATTAGTGTTATCTGCTAAATAGATAAAATGCAAACCATGGATTCTACAAGAGAGAAACAATAGATGTCCTTGGTGTTAAAAAGACCAGGAGTCACTAAATCTGTCTACAACAGAGATTGGGGAGAAGAAGAAAACGGCATTTCAAGCTGTAAATTTACCTCCCACGCCCCCCAGAGCAGCGCAGATATGCAACATTCCCTTTTCTTCTCCTTAGGTTTGCAAATTATTGCCGTGAGAAAGGTTCATATCCTTCTGAAGCTAGGGCAGGGGACTTACTGGTCTACCTTTATTTTCTGTACACTCACCCTTCTCCAAGTTTCTCTAAGACATCAAACACTTCTTCTGGTTGTTTAGTTAAACTGTCTTCATCCAACTTTTTCAGCTGCCTGTGAATGAAGAAATATGAACATAAAATACATTTTACTTTCTAGCGGTTAGAACACAAAATACATTATTTATTTTACAATTATCATCTTAGGAATTTCTCTACAAAATCTTCCCTAGTAAATAACAACAAAGGTAAGCTAAGAGACTGTTAAGGGAAGCTCAAGGACTGTTCTATGGAATTATTACATGTGTCCTGGGTCACCCCCTGAGCAAAATCAGGACCAGGGTGGAGAGCTACCAAGAGGGAGACTTCAGTTCAACAGGTGTAAGAATTTTCTAACTAATAAAAGTTGTTCCGAAATGGTTTAGACTGCCTTAAGAAGTCCCGAGTTCCCCAACACTGGAGAATTTAAACAGAAAATGAATCATCATGTGGCTGAAATGCTGTAGAGTGGAATCGAGCATTAGATGTAACTTTTAAAAGCCATTTAAATCTTGAGATTCCACGAATTCAAATGGCATAACTATCTCTTCGGAAAACATGTTTAATGTAAGATTAACTACAAATTGAAATATGGCCTTGGACTGCAGGCCAAGGAAGACACAGAAGACTCTTGCTCTCCATTAGCATAGTTCAGGTAATTTTGTCACAACACATGGATTCTACAGGTATCAAAGACACAGAAAGTGGAAAATATATGCTTAGACATGATCAAAAGAGAAAAATAACTAGGCAGCTGGGAGTTTCAAATAATCTCACAAAGACTCTCCCACGAGCAGCCACGTACTTTTGACTAGTTCCCAAAATCAAAGATATATGGCTGCTAACAACTTCCAGATAATTCAGATTTTTCTGACCATGCTAGACAACCATAAGGAACATGAGAGGTTATAAATTAACAATATTTTTTTAAAACTCTAGGACTTTTGAAAATTATTAACAAGCTTAAAGGAGGAGCTTGCTAAGGAATATTTGTGTTTGTATATAATCTATACAATGACTTCCTGAACCTACAAAGAACAACAAAGAAAGGAGAGTTCAGGAAACGGTAAATATGGAAGTAGTCACACTGGAGATTTCTTTGTAAAGAAAAAGGTTTAAAGGAGCTGGACAATACCGATTTTTACAAGAAAAGACTTGAATTTAAAAAATACACACACACACACAAAAAAAATTAAAATAAAAAAATAAAAAATACACACACACACACACACAAACGTGTACTTTCCTAGAGAAAACAGCAAAACCAGAAGAGAAGACAGAAGAAAACTCAAGAACACATCAACTGTATCTACCTAAACACTGATCTCAAAAGAACAATCTTATAGACTTTTATAAATATCGAAGAGATGTACTAGAGAAATGGAGAATTGCTCCAAGTCAGTAAGTGCCACAACTTGAAAATTAACAGAACAAAATGACCACACTGACCTTTGAAAATCAAAAGGTCCTAAAAATTAAATTCCATTGACATCACAAAAACTCCCAGCTTCAAAACAAAAAGGGCTGAAGGGAAACTCCTCTTAAACTTCAGAAGTGAAATTTCTACAAACTCAGAAGTTAGAGTGAACATCCCATAAGCCAGGGGTTTTTTGTGAAGCACTGAATTGTAACTGTATAAACAATGGACAATACCTCATTTCTCAAGTATAATTAAAGTTTTATAAACAGTTTATATAAAGGAAGATCAAAGGTGTTCCTTTGAAGTGTTGACTTTGTGGTTTACAAAAAGCAAAACTCACTATTTCAACTATTATAGAGACCACAAAGGAAATAGCCACTGCCATGAGACAGCTGCAGACCTCTGATAATACTTTGACAAACTTTATATGACTGCTCAGATACTACTTCTAAAACAATCTAAGTGGTTTTTTTGTTTGTTTTTGTTCCAGACGTAAGGCATCTTTATATCTCTGGTGCCTGATAACCCAGAGGTGGTCAATAAATATTTGCTGAATGGATTAATGATGGTAATGATGCGAATCATAAACATTTATCAGCAATCTTTGTGTTTTCAAAATAAAACAGAATTTCACCCTAAAAAGTATTCCTAGGGGACCGGCCAGGTGGCGTAGCAGTTAAGTGCACGCACTCTGCTGCGGTGGCCGGAGGGTTCACAGGTTCGGATCCAGGGCGCGCACCGACACACTGCTTGTCAAGCCATGCTGTGGCGGCATCCCATATAAAGTAGAGGAAGATGGGCACGGATGTTAGCCCAGGGCCAATCTTCCTCAGCAGAAAGAGGAGGATTGGCATGGATGTTAGCTCAGGGCTAATCTTCCTCACAAAAACAAAACAAAAAAAAGTATTACTGGATTATCAACAAATAAGATTTCTACGGAAAATCTTTTAATCAGAGACTCTTAATTATAATTTTATACCAAGAGTCTTCATGGAAGAAGCACTATAACCAAGATAGCCCGACACTGATGATTTAGCTCTCTCAGGTGGGACTTCCCCAGGTCCTAGGTAGTTAGTTTCACTGCTTGCTCATAAACACACAGGCCTGGCCAACACAGCCTGCATGGATCAAATACCAGGGGATGCTCCTCTTCTAAGTCAGATGGCCACGTGGATGGCCAGCATCCCAGAAATGTACTCTACACCTTCCACTACACTATTATTATCTAATGGCAATTCACTTATTAAAATCATAAACTCCTACATAAGCCATGTAGGAGTCACACACAAATGTTAAACTCATGAACACAAAGAGCATTTCCTGCATTGGGATTGCTATTTCTTGTTGGAAACACAGGCCATCTGAATCTCTGAAAAGACATCTGTATCTTTCCAAACACAAATAAGACTTTTTATGAAGTAGTTACTCATAGGTTTGGCTAATTATCAAATCTCCTTCTCCCATTTTAGAACTCATGTCAGGCTCATTTTATTTATGTATACCTATCCCTCCCTCCAAATAGAATTTGATATGGACTACAACAAAAACGTAAGACAAACTGATGAAGTTTTTGTAATGATGATAAAATCAATGTGCCCCTCCCAATTCATATGCTGAAGTCCTAGCCCCCAGTACCTCAGAATGTGATTGTATTTGGAGATAGGGGCTTTAAAGAGGTAATTAAGGTAAAATGAGGTCATATGGGTGAGCCCTAATCCAAAATGACTGGTGTCCTTATAAGAGGAGATGAGGACACAGACAGGTACAGGGGGAAGACCATGTGAAGACACAGGAAGGAGACAGCCACCTACAAGCCAAGGAGAGAGGCCTCAAAAGAAACAACCGTGCCGACATCTTGATCTTGGACTTCTAGCCTCCAGAACGGTGAGAAAATAAATTTCTGTTGTTTAAGTCACCCAGTCTGTGACACTGACATGGCAGTCCTAACAAACTAATACAAATGATAATAAAGTTAATCTGCTGCAAATTAGGCAAATGAGTTATGATGCAAATTAGTTATGATGAACAGGAAAGCACCAGTCATTCAAGAACTGTCTTGCAATGCTCTTCTCTTGCACATTTAATAAATTTTTTAAAACCCAAAAGGTACAGGAATGAATGTGTCAAAAAGCAAAAAGGTTTACTCTATTGCCCAAGATTATACAACACGAGGCAAAGACAGCAACAAAACTCAGATCCCTAATCCTCTTTCCAATTAAACCAAGCCCGAGGAGAAAGAACAAACATATTTCAGAAAGAAATATAATCAGTGTACATTTATAAGTGGATCGCCACGGTGTGATAGCAAATATCTGCTAATACACGCAAGGCCCTGTGAAACACGGGTACTTCCAGAGAGGCATCAGAGTGAGACAGTTAAGAGCGTGGCTTCGGACTAGACTGCTTGGATTAAAATCCCAGCTCTGCCACTTACTAACTGTGGGACCTCTGGCAAATCACTAACCTCTTTGTGCCTCAGTTTTATCACCTGTAGAATAGAGATATAGAGGTAACCACTTCACAGGATTGTTGTGAGGATCAAATGAGTCAATAGTAAGTTGAACCATACAAAATTACCATTTTTACAGATCAAAAATGGTCAAATATCGGCATTTTCACATGGTTCAACAGAAAGCACTGAGAACAGTGTCTGGCACCCAGTAAGTGCTAGATGAGGGTAATAATCATTATTACTATTTCAGTCTCAGCACACTACACTAGGGTGAATTATGAGGCCATACCAACCAGCTATCTGCCTTCTGCAGTGCTTGTGCACTTCAAACAAACCCCAAGTGTGCAGCCCAGGCTGCCAGCCTCTTCCCTTCACCTCTCCATTGCCCCGCACTCCCACCCACTGAACACTTCCTACTTTAGCGCTCCTTCTGCTGCAGGAAGTCAGAGGCCTCTGTGAAATAGAAGCTAACTACACTGCACCTCAGAGAAGCATGACTGCCTCCATCTCTACTGTCTTTTTCTCCAGATGTGGCAGAGTGACATAAGACCCTGGGGGTCCGTAGAGCAAATCAATGATACAACTGCGACCAAATCAGGAGTTCAGACCTTCTAGGATCAGCCACCTCCCTGATCTTGACTTAAAACAATTCCAGGTATCAGTAGGATCTGGAGCTGATACTCACAAAACAATAGAGGCCTGAAAAGGGCACAGTCTGGCCTGGTCCAGTGACCCAGTCTAGAGCAAAGAAGGAAACACAGGGGTCTGTGTCTCAACTCTTTGGGGCCTCAATTTCCCCAACTTGAAAAAAATCCTTATTTCCTTATTTACCCCGCAAATGGTGGGTTTGAAGGGCTGAGGAGGATGTGAGGAAAATTAAGAAGGCACTGGACTTAAGGAATGACAGATGCCATCATCATCCTAGAGTGGGGACACTACCAAGGACATCTTCCTAAATGCTGTCCTCCAGGAAGCCCTCCCTCCCTTGCTAGACCAGCAACCTTTCTTGGCACACCTTCAGCTTTTGGAGCAAAGCTTTTCCCCCAGCAGATCCTCCCCAACAGCACCCCTCAGGTGGGACCCCGTCCTTACGAAGTCCACCCAGCCTTCCTCTCAGCTTGTCCCCGACCCATCCCTTAGACAGACTCCTCATAGGTTCCCATCCTGCTTCAGCATTCCCCCCGCCTCAGTGAGTCCCTTCTAGGACAGCCTTCCCCCAGCGGCCCCAGCCCTCAGCAGGTGCTCTCCCTAACTTGTCGCCACGTTCCTCAGCAGCTGCTCCCTTCAGCAGTCCCCCAGGATGTCCCCCTACAGCAAGTGCTCTCCCTAACCAGCCCCACGTTTATCCCCCTCGGCGCGTGCCTCTCTCTCCCGGACCCCCACCCGCCAGATGTCCCCCACTCAGCAGGTGCCCCATCACCGGGTCGCCTCGCCCCGCAGGTCCCTCCCCTCGGGGGCTCGACAACGAGTGTCCCCCCTCCGTCAGTTCCCGCCTTTCCTTCCCCCTGACCCCCCTCCCGTTAGCCAGTGGCCCCTCACCGGCGCGGCGGGTTCCTCAGCTGCACCGTCTCCATGGCGCTGCCGGCAGCCGCCCAAGCCCGCTCACTGCCCCATCCTCCCCGGGGACCTCCCCGAGCACGCCCCGCAGACCCTCCCACACTTCCGCTTTCCGCCCCTACCGGAAGCGGCGCGGCGCGGGGCGGGGCCACAAGGACCGGGCGTGGGTCACGTGGTGCAGCGGGGCGCGGACCGGAAGCCCGGAGCGGAGGAGACTGTTCCCCGAGTCCTCAGCCAGGCTGGACGCTGTGGTTGACATGCTGTTCGGCCAAGACGCACGGTCCCCACACCGGGAACCCATCTCTGCCTCAGTCCGGCCCCTTATTTCTTAGACGGAGATACTGAGGCTTCTTGCGAAGCGCCAGCTTGATAAAAACTATTGATTCTTAACAAGCCAAGTTCTACGCGATTCCTGGGAATCGCTGTCACCCCCAGGGCCTCCTGGAAGTATTTGTGGTTTTCTACCATTCTTACCTGGTAGAATTCTTGTTCCAGATGGAGACTGGACCGCGCATACCTTCTTGGCTGTCACAGGGCATCAGCCTGCAAATTGCCCCACCCTCTTCCTTAACAGCCTCTCCTTTGAGTCAGTTTGGAGACGTGTATACCTGGGAGAAACCCAGGTATACATGTTATTTATTAAGCTCTTGCCATGTATTTGCTTTCATATATTGTTTCATTTAATCCTCACATCAAGCAGGTATGGTTATCCCCAATTTTATGTGTTGATTATCTGACGAACTGTGCTTACCACTGTGGGGGATCAGAATTTGCCACCCCAAAAATGTGTCTCTTTGGCTTGATTATTTTTAAGAACAAAAGACTTGGAAGGAAACTTCACCTTACTTCTAACTGCCTAAAAGAATTTAAGATAGAAAGCCTGTTCCAGGAAGGAGCTAATACTATGAGATAACCATAGAATAATATAAACTAGGTTTGATAAACAGGGAGGAACCTAACAAGGGCCTTTTAATCAAAGTCCTCATCTCTTATTGTCTTTGCAAGGCATGGTCAACATTTGTTAACCAAACATTTGGTTTTCCATCTCCATGTAAATTGCCTTCCTCCCCTTTGAAGTCCGAAACCAATAACCCCAACGTCCTCCTTTGTTCTTAGCTGAAGATGGTATTTAAGGTAGTGGCTTCTGCCATTTTGGAGAGTTACTTAGTTTTCCTGGGTTTCTCCCAGGTATACATGTTATTAAATTTGTTTCATTTTCTCCTGTTATTCTGTCTCATGTCAATTTAATTCTTAGATCAGCCAGAAGAACCTAGAGAGTACAGGAATAGTTCTTCCTCTGCTATACCACATTCTCAGTGCTTTACTACTATTAACTCATTTAATACTCCTAACAACCTTATAAGGTAAGTACTATCAATACTCTCATTTTATAAGGCCAGGGAAGTGAAGATCACAGAGCTAAAAGAATAGGTTTAGGGATTTAAATCCAGGTCCGTCTGATTCTAGAGCCTGCACCTTAAACTGGACAGCCACTGATGTGTACCCTCTCTCTGGGCGTCAGAGTCAGAGCTCCCTCTCCACTCAGAGCTCCAGTTCCAGCTATGGCTATGGTTAAATCCCCACTTGCCACCACCATCAATGAGTGCTAGGAAAATGGCAGATTCCACCCAACTTACCCACGGGGAAAGTTACAGGAGCAAATGTACCCAGAGCAACCACTCACTGTTTTTAATTGTCCTGCTTTTCCCAAAGGTATGCCATCTATGAAACTTAACACCTGAGCAGCCACCTTTCAGGGCCACCCAGGTATGGCACCCCGTGTGCTAAAAATGGGATAATAGAGCCATTCCCCAGACACGGGAGGAAAACATTTACTGAGAATCTACTGTGTGCCAGGCACAATCCTAGACTATCACTTAATTTTCAAAACAACTCTATGAAGTAAGAATTATTAGTCCCAGTTCCTCAGGTGAGGAAGCAGAGACTCACGTATACACGGCTAGTGAGAGCGAAAGTTTTAACCCAAGACTGTCCTGACTCCACAAAATCCGTATTTTATTTGCCATTTTGCTCTATCAGCAATCTGTACAAGTGGCAGTGGGAGCCCTGAGGAAGTAAAGATCAAGAAGAATTTCTACAAAGTTCAGGAAGCCATATGGGTCCCTCCTGCAAGAAGTCAACCTCTGTCCTCTGAAATCCCCTCGCACTTTTCCTGTTCTTCTCCCAAAGCACACTCAACGTTTTACCTTATGTTCAGGCCCTGCTGCCCACTGGATTTCTTCCTCCTTGAGGGGCAGTTCTGTGTGGAAGCTTCCATTATGCCCACACACTCATCCCCATAGATGAGTAGGTACTCAATAAACATTTTTAAAAATAAATGTCAATTTGCCAATACACATTGTCAAACATCCCTCCTTTGTCCCTTCCCAGGATTTTTCCAGAAGATAGACTGACATTAGGATTGCCCTCTTTTTCCACAGAATGTCCGGTGCAGCACTGGCCCATAGAAATTCCTGCAATGGTGGAAATGTTCTACATATGTGCTGTCAAAACAGTAGCCACTTAGCCACATGTGGCTGTTGAGCACTTTAAATGGGGCTAGTGTGACTGAAAAATTGAATTTTAAAGTTTTATTTAATTAATTTAAATTTAAATAGCAAGCCTCAGCCAACCATAATATGCTAATAGCTTAAGAGAAAGAACCAATGAGCAGGGTTACTCGTGCTCCATTCATTCAACACTCGATGAGCTCCATGGGCTGGCACCGTGTGATGCTCTGCGTATACAAGAATATTCGAGACATATATGAGTCCTACCTTTTTTGCAATTTATAGTGTAGTAGAAAAGATAGTTATTAGGCAGATAATTGATCAATGTAGTGATAAATCATGATAGAAAACTATAATGTGAGAACCTAACGAAGTCTAGTAAGATCGAGACAGCTCTGAGACAGCTGGGACAGTGACTCATTCATTCAACACGTATATATTGTGTATCTGCTGTGGGCCAAGCACTGTACTAAGTGCCAGGCAATGAGCAAAAGAGATAAGTTTGTGCCCTCATGTATGTCACATTCAAGTGGGAAAGACAGACAGTAAACAAACTATATAAATATATAAAATGTCTGGTATTAAAAATTATATGAGGAGAAATTAATGTAAGAGTGTGGAAAGTGGGATGGGGAATAATTTAGATCAGTGATTAGGGAAAGCCTTTCTGAGGAGGTGATATTTGAGCAGAGATGTGACTGAAGTAAAAGAATAAGTCACACTCATATTTATTTATTTATTTTTTTGAGGAAGATCAGCCCTGAGCTAACTAACGCCTGCCAATCCTCCTCTTTTTTTTTCTGCTGAGGAAGACTGGCCCTGGGCTAACATCCATGCCCATCTTCCTCTACTTTATATGGTACGCCACCACAGCATGACTTGACAAGCGGTGCGCCGATGCGCGCCCAGGATCCGAACCAGCAAACCCTGGGCCACTGCAGCGGAGCGCGCGCACTTAACCGCTTGCGCCACCGGGCAGGCCCACCACACTCATATTTAAAGAGAATGTTTAAGGCAGAAGGAAACAGCAAGGGCAAAGGCTTACATTAGAAGAGCAGCAAGAAGTTGGTGTGCTTGGAGCAGAGTGAATAAGGAAGAGAAAAGTAGGAGGTGAGGTAGGCAAGGTAGCCAGAGCCAGGTTGAATATGGGCCGTGTAAAGACACAAAAAATTACTAGAAATCGGTTAGGTGTATCTGTTAGCTATCACCGTGTACCAAACCATCCCAAAGCCCAGTGGTTTATAACAGTAATTATTTTCTAGGTTTTGGTTATTACAAATAAAACAGTTATGATCATTTGTGTACAAGTCTTTGTATGGATATACATATAGGCATACATACATACAAAAGGACGTTTCATTTCTTTTGGGTAAATACGCAGGCGAGAAATAGCTGGGTCATATGGAAGACATATGTTGATGTATTAAGAGACTGTTTTCCAAGGTGATTGTACCATTTGACATTTCCACCAACGGTGTATGAGAATTCTAGTTGTTCTGCCTCCTCACCTATGCTTGATATGATCAGTGTTTGTAATTTTAGCCATTCTGATAGGTGTGTAGTGGTATCTCATTGTGGTTTTAATTTGCATTTCCCTAATGACTAATGATGTTGAGCATCTTTTTAAGTGCTTGTCATCTGTTTATTTTCTTTTTTAAAGTATCTCTTCAAGTCTTTTGCCTTTCTTAAAATTGGGTTATTTTCTTATTATTGAGTTTTTAGAGTTTTTTTTAATATTAAAGGATGCAAGTCCTTTATCAGATATGTGATTTACAAACATTTTCTGGGGCTTGTCTTTTCATTCTCTTAACAGCATCATTCAAAGAGCAGAAGTTCTTAATGTTTGTTAAGTCCAATTGATTCATTTTTTTCCTTTTAAGGATCATACTTTTGATGTCACACCTAAGAAATCTTGGGGAGGAGACTGACCCTGCAGGCTCACTTCCCAGGTTCCCATGTCAGCTGACCAGCCAGCAGTAGTGGGAGACACAGGCTGGGAGTAAGAGAGAAGCCAGACTCTTTTTCTGCCTTCTTGCCTCTGATGGAGTACCCAGCAGTGACTTTGTCTTCAGCTCCTCCTACAGAGGCCTGACTCAGGTCCAGCTTCCACTCTACTGCCTCCTCTGGACTCTGTCAATATCACCACTTCCCTTTTATGTTCAAGTCCTAGGCTAGTGACTTCCTGCTCTTGCTGTCCTTCGGGCTGCCTCACTGTCCCCTGTTGGCATCTCGGCTCTTCTATCACCCGTGAAACCAGTTCCCTGCCTTAAATTCGCCTTGTTTCAGTCTTCCCTAAGCCATCTTACTCAGAGTGTGTTTTTAGGTTAGACCATCATTGATACCCCTGAGTAGAAAATCATCCAGAACTACAAATTGACAGGTTGCGACACTGTTTATACTTCTTTCCCCAAGACTAATTGTTTTTCGCCTTATGATTTGGAATCAGCATATAAGAGCATTGGCTGAGCCTGGCTCATTCAAATGAAATGTCACACTTGTCCTGATTCTAACACATCTTTACTTGCCAGTGTCTCTCAACCAAGGAAGGAAGAGAGATTGTTTAAAGAAACTATCAATTAACCCTGAAAACAAGTGTTTAAA